ACTATTAAGTTAAGAGTTACTAGAAAAGAAAAGAATAGAATTAGAGCAAGGAAACAGTTGGCCAACTTGAAAAATTTGTAGGTTGTATGAGTCAGGAAAACATGAAGATGGGAGAGAGAGTTTCAAAGGGTTGAAATGTAGGGAAAAAAAACAAAACAAATAAAAGTTTTTTAAACAAGCATCAATTAAAACTCAGTCTCTCTTGATTCATCAATCAGCAAATTCTCATTTGTTTACTGTATCTGTATACAGTAAACAAATGAGAATTTGCTGATTGATGAATCAAGAGAGACTGAGTTTTAATTGATTGAACTTGAGATAATAGCTTCTTTGAGCAGCGACCATGAAATTATTTGTAGAAAAGAGAAAGAGATGTAACTTTATGGCGATGGGAAAGATGATCAAGCTTAGCAGATAGAGCAGGTCCAACTATGTTTATAATGCGTTTTTGGACCTTGTCCAAAAGAGAAAGAGTACCATTAGAAGAACTAGCCCAAATATGACAACAAATTCCATACAGGGATGAATAAGAGATGTGTAGAGGTAGAAAATGGAATTAGGAGTAATGAAATGGCAGACAAGATAAAGAGAAGCAATATTAGCGGATGCTAATTTAGCAATCGATTGTATATATGATTTCCATGTAAGGTCAGTAGGGCAATTCCATGTCAAATGACTTTTAAAATGTCACCCTATATCTCAGATTTTACTGATTTTTATACAGTTAAGAGTACTTATTATAATAAGAATTCCTTGAAAATTTTAGCCTCTGCCTCCAAGAAGATCCTGAAATATGACCATTTTATTTTTAGCAGATACTGGCCAGGCCCCTCTTGTCTCCTTAGAATGGCAACATTTATTTAAAGGTTTCAAGTCACATAACTTTAAAAATATTTGATACTTTTTATTAGGCCTTGTACCAGGCCATTTTCAGGGGTGGCAAATCCAATGAAATGAACAGAAATGTAAAAGATTTTTAAGTATCTGTATTTATCAACTTATATAAATTTTTTATATACCAGATTTTGATGATTAAGAAACCCATGTGGCCTCCATGATATCAAAAAAACATATATTACACATCATTCTATATTCATTGATCATTCAAAAAATATAAAGATTTTCATCTGCAACTATATAGATTTCCATATATGGATAATGAGGCACGGGACCCTACGTTTTTGTAGCGAATTATTGCAATAGACTTTTCACTAACTTCCAGACTAGCTGAGGCTCTGAAACTTTTGGCATTTCTGTAGTGCCAATGAACATACATGTTAAAATTGTTTTCAGGGTCCAAGACTCCGAGGGAGGGGGGCTGGATCATGGGTCCTACTTTTTTGTAATGGAATCTTGTGATAGATTTTTCACTACTTTTCAGACATTATTTAACATTAATGGATTGAATTATGGTGAATTTGTTCTGTGTAAATATGATACGTTTAATTGGATTGGTATAAGCAAGTTGTTATGGTAATATTTATACACCCGCATAGTCCTTTTAACAAACTTTTTTGACCATCTAGAGCAGATGAGTGTTGGGTTCCAATTACCAACATAATTTGTACCATTGATGCTGTAACAACAACTGGGCGTATGACCGTTGATGCATCTAAGCAAATCTTAACACAATCTTGAGACTTATATATTTTTGTATTTTATTTTGTAAATAGTTGAATAAAACAGAACAGGTACAAACCAAAAAAAAAAATTTTGAAAGCAATATCATCTTTTATTAAAAATGCAAAAAAAAAAAAAATTTTTTTTGAGAAAATAAGTGAGGCATAACCCCAGTGCCCCAGGCCATGTACCCTCTGGTCGTCTGCCCTGGAAACAATTTTAACATGCATTCATTAGGACTACACAAGTGCTGAAAGTTTGAGAGCTCCAGTTTGTCTGAAAGGTAATAAAAAATATATCACAAGATCCCACTACAAAAACGTAGGTACTTGCCCCAGTTCCCTCTAATGTCTTGGGGCCCTGAAAACAATTTTAACATGCACATTGATTGGCACTATAAAAATTCCAAAATTTTCAGTGCTCCAGCTAGTCTGGAAGTTAGTGAAAAGGCAATTGCAATATTCCGCTACAAAAAAGTGTGAACCATGTCCCATTATCGGTATATGGAAATCCATATACTTGCAGATCAAAATCTTTATAATTTTTTGAAAGATCAATGAATATAGAATGTGTAATAATTTTTGATATCATCAAGGCCACATGGGTTTCTTGAGCATTAAAAACAGGTATATAAAAAATTGCCTAAACTTATTTAAATTGATAATTACAGGTACTTAATAATAATTTTTACACTTCTGATCATTCCATTGGATTTGTCACCCCCAAAAATAATCAGTTACAAATTAAGTAAAAAAAAAAACCAAATATTTTCAAAGTTATATGACTTGAAACCTCTAAATAAATGTTGCAATTCTAAGGGGACAAGAGGAGCTTGACCAGTATCTGCTAAAAGTAAAATGGTTGTATTTCAGGATCTTCTTGGAGCCAGAGGCTCAAAATTTCAAAGAATTCTCATTTTACTAAGCACTTTTAACTGTATAAAAATCTGAGATGTATAGTGACATGACCTGGGTCATTTGACATGGAATTATCCAATTGCAAGTGATGATCCAAGATGTAAAGAAGAGAACTTAGTGAGAGGGTTGTCCTTCATTAATATAGGAATGTTGATAGTATTGCAGTAGCTGTTTGTCATAAATAACTGAGTTTTGTTAGTGTTAAAATTTTCAAACCACTGCGAGCCCCTATCTGTTACAGAAGTGAGATCAGATTCAAGATTCTAAGCAATTTAAAAGAGAAGACTTTTTGTCAAGACAAGAGTACAAAGTTGATTCATCAGCAAAAAGAGCTACTTTGGATTTAAGGTTGTTGGGAAGATCATTAATGTAGATAAAAAAACAAAACAGGACCATATATATAAATATATATATATATATATATATATATATATATATATATATATATATATATATATATATATATATATATATATATATATATATATATATATATATATACATATATATATATAGGGTTCGGCAAATGCATCTGCGCAGACATAATATGCGCATATCTGCGCAGATGTCGGCGCCGACGTCTGCGAAGACAGTTTAAAGTATACGAAAAATTTAAATTATGATAAAAAAAATTACTTCAGACATTTGATTCAGATAATTTAATTATCTGAATCAAATGCCTGAAATTAATTATTTTTTTAAATTTAATTTCAGACAATATTTAATATAATAATTTCAGACATTTTGAAAAACTCGTAAAAAGTAGGTAATTATCTACTTTTTTTTACAGTTTTATTCTACAAGTTTTTCATTACTTGTCTGTTTCTTTTTTGTTCGAGCTACATATAATCAATCGATATAAACTTTTTAAAGTATTTCTTACTACAATTTAAAGTGATTTAAAATAAAGAAATTGCGTATTTTTGTCATAACAAATGTTTAAAATGGAAAACATCAAAATTTCGAATTATTTGACAAATCTTTATTGAGGAAAGCGTTCTGGCACTTGTTTAGCATGTAACAAAACTGTTCAATGGTCGAAGGAAAGCCTTGCAGCGCATAAAAGATCAACATGTCAAAATGCCAGTGTCGAGGAAAAAAAGATTGTTTTCTAAGCGTAATTATGAATCGTCACATCTGATCCATGACTCTCAGCTACTTCCGTCTAGGTCTGATTCACCGATGCAGCGTGTACATCTACCGATTAATAAAGAGCTCAAAAATGATATCGACACGAAGCTTGCAAATTTCTTTTACCGTACGGGTATATCATTTCGTTTAGTTGAATCGGAGGTCTTTAAGGATTTTGTGAAGTCGCTCAATCCATCGTACGCATCTGTCATCCCGAAAGCTAAAGCCTTATCAGGATCTCTGCTCGACAAACAATACACAAAATGTTCTTTTTATGTAAATGAAATTTTGAATTCTGAAACAAACTTAACACTGATGTCTGACGGCTGGACGAACATAAGAGGCGATCACATAGTGAATTTTTGTATTAAAGCGCCCGAGCAGAAGCCTTTTTTTTTACACCTTGATAAATACATCCGGAATCATTCAAAATTCATCTGCAGTTGCTGCAGCAATCTTACAAGTTATTGAGAAAATTGGCTCACAAAAATTTACCAGTTTCGTAAGCGACAACGCTCCTGTAATGAAATCAGCGTGGAGGATCATCAAGGAGAAATATCCACACATCTCGACTAGCGGATGCGGAGCTCATGGAGTCAACTTGCTTGTGAAGGACATAGTTTCTACAATTGAGGCCACAAAAACAGTCAAAGATGCAGAGAAAATCATCAAATATGTGAAAAATCATCACATCGTGAAAGCAAAGTTTGATGAAAGGCAAATTGCAGCAAATATTTCTCTTTCATTGTCCATGCCTGTATCTACACGATGGTTTAATTATTATAAATCAATGAGCAGTCTCCAGCTATCAAAATACGTTCTTATTAAGTTGGTAGACCAAGAAAGTCCATTACTGAAGGAAATTCAACCAAAGAATACATCTGTTGCTGTTATGACGTTGATAAAATATAACCCATTTTGGGACCGTCTCTCTAAGCTTGTCAAAAGCATCGAATTTCCTTCCAACGTGATCGGAAAGCTAGAAAGTGATACAGCTCCATTGTCTCTCGTGTATGATTACTTTGGTCAAATGTACCATTCATATATGGACGATAAAGACATACAACAAAAAGTGCAATCTCGCCTCGATTTTCTCTTTACACCATGTATTGGAATTGCTTTCATATTAACGTCCAAAAATGCCGCAGAAGGTTTATATTTGAATGAAGATAAAACCGATTTTATTGTTGAATTCGCCAAAAAGATCAAACCTGAAATTGCTGCCACTGCTGAAGATGAATTGATTGCTTATATAGGAGAAATTTCTGTGCTGCCTGAGAGAAGAAAGGAAACAATATTCAAGATGAACTCGCGAAATTATTGGAACATTATCGGTTGCGATAAATATCCTGCTCTTTATGAAGTTGCTAAGCCTAATAACAAAATGATCTGCTCATCGGCTACAGCAGGTGGGTCGACCTTTCCATTTATTCACTCGCGACTAAGAAATCGTCTTACAAATGAGAGAGTTGAAAAGCTAGTATTCTTGTATACCAATAGCGTGCTGATGGACACAAATGACAAGACTGATTACATTCTTGAAGAAGGTGCAATTCTCAATGAAATTGAATGTCAAGAAATCACCGAACAGGCGCCAGCATTATATATTTTTATTACTGTAAGAATCTTTGAAAACTCCTATTGTTACTAATCACTGAATTTATAATAAAGTTAAAAGATTACTTAAAACATTTTTTAAGTTTAAAACTTTTTTTGTTGATTTCAATAAATTGTCAGTAATAATAATATCTGCGCAGATCTGCGCCAAGAGACGAACCTTAGTATATTTTAGCTGTAATAATAAATTTTGTCGGCGCCGACGTCTGCGCAGACAAATTACAATGTCTGCGCCGACAGTGCGAACCCTATATATATATATATATATATATATATATATATATATATATATATATATATATATATATAGGTTATATGTATTATATTTAAGCATATATTTGTTACTATAGATATGCTTTTTTTATTTATAGATGGTAACTTAAATCCACACTCAACTCCACTATCTACTATTATAAAAAAGAGCCAAAATAGCTATCCTTCAGCTGAACTTTCCATGCTACATAACATGCTATATAAAACTTATCATCAAGTTGCTAAAATAGATTCTTCTGGGAGATATTTTTCAAATCAAAAAAGAAGAAAAGTAACTCTTTTCGATAGTGAAGTAATTTCTCCAAGCAAGAAGTCTAAAGATATGCCTATGGAAAAGATAAGTCAATTACCAATTGGTTCAGCTCGGTGATTTTAGCTTTTTTGTCTGTATTTTAACTTTACTATCATGTATTTTTGGTGATTATTTAATATTACCTTTTATAATTGTTTAAAAAGTAAATCATTAATATTTTTTTAATGATTTTTTGTTATACAGGAGGCATTTATATTCTGGTTCTGATGCTTACTTGTTATTAAAAACACCACCTGCTAGACTAAGTAAAAAGATTATTCAAACCACCACAGCACCCAGTAAAACGCCTCAATCTATTCTTAAGGTAGTAAATTTTTTTTAATCAACTTTAAATAGATTAATTAGTTATAATTTAAAAATTCAGTTGCTAATAGTAATGACATGATATATCAATCCTTATTTTACATAATAAGAGTGTGTTTTTACTTTTCTTTTTTGCAATCCCATTAATGTATTTTTTTGTTTAATGTAGTCTTTTTAATTTAATGTAGCCTTTATATAAAACCATTATGCAAACAAATGTTTAATTGAGTCTTTTTAATTGAATGTAGCCTTTAAACAAGACCATTGTGCAAACAAATGAAATTAAAACTGATGCATCCCGAAAAACTTTATTTCAACTGCCAGAACAAACACCGTCTAGAAAAATACGATTTGTCGGTTTTAGTTCACCTAATACTATATCTCCCATGATATCACCTTTTGATACCATTCAACATACAAATAATTTATGTGAAACTTCTGAAGACTCGTTTAGCAGCAGTGTAAAAAGTGAGACTCAAGTTAGCTCCCCAAATTTTGCTGAAGAAAAAACAATGGAAGTGTCAGGTTAGTGATAATTATAAATTAGGTATTATAATTATGATAATAATTTGATAATTAATTGACAATTTATTTTAGCATAGTTTATTTCTAAATTTTAAAAATGAAAGGTAGCGAGTAAAACTCACTTATTCTACATTTGATTTAAAATAGATGTCAATTCTATACCTATAGACTTGATGTTTCAAACATCAAGTCTATAGGTTTGAGTTTTTTGTTTTTAATATGTATAAGTTTCAATATTTTTAATGTCAATTTCTAAAGGTTTTAATTCTGTAGCTATTAATATCTGTAGGTTTGTTTCTTTATAAATAATATTTTTGTTTGTGCTATAACAAAAGGAATAAAAGAAAGTTTCTTTGTAATGAAGAAAATGGAAGTATTTTTGCTGCCAATTAAAATATCTAGCTTTTTTTATTATAATTAATTTCTTTATATTGGAGTACTAAATGACTTCTTACAGACTGCTTTACAGATCTGTAAATTGCACTACAAGTACAGATGCTATAAAATGCTCCAACTCATTTTTTGTTGTTTCATGAATGTAATAGCATTACAAAAGACTAAAACAATGATTATAAATACCCAAAATTAATGTTTTTTGTCATTTTCTTTTACAGAAATTCAATTGGAACAGAAATTAAACGAAAGCAACAACGACAGTTTTGTTAGTTTTGATACAAGTTATTCAATGTCTATTAATGAAATACTAGAGTCTTTGAGTTCTAAAAAGTCAGATTATAAGAGTGATATCAATTTAAAAGAGAGACTGAATGAAACTGACTCATTCCATTCATCTCCAGCTTCAATAAACTTAGAAGAAAGCCAAAATGATGCTTTAAAACAACAATCTTCTACCGTATTAACTGAATGTCATAATTCTCCAGTCAGGTTTTTTGATGAGTCACCTGCTCTTTTAACAGCATTGCCATTGAGTTCAAAATCTTCAAAAGAACTAGTTTCTGATAGCTTTATATTATTAACTTCTAGTGATGAAGATTCTGTTAAAGATGAAGAGTCAGTTGATCACTTTTCTGCAGATGAAACTGAGTTATCGCCTAAACTTAACAGAAATCAAGATGATTCAGATTGTTTTTTTGAATCATTAGAAGAACAAACCAATACGCAGGAGCATATTTCTGATTCTGCATATATTACAATAAATGAAAAATCTATCAAAAAAACTCAAAAAAATGATTCATCTAATAATGAATGTTTTAATAATGAGGTTAATAAGTTTAATATTGAAAATAATTTTGTTCCTAGTTTTGAAGAAACACCCCAAGATACAAACGAATGCAAAATCAACTCAAAGGAATTTGAACTGTGTTCTTCTGAAATTAAAAATAGTTACACAACTGAACTTGAACAGTATTCTTCTGAGTTAACAAATAGTTGTTCAAATGAGCTTGAACAGTATCCTTTTAAGGTAACAAATAATTGTTCAAATGAACTTGAACTGTATCCTTCTGAAGTTTCAAATAGTTTTTCAAATGAATTTGAACAGTATCCTTTTAAGGTAACAAATAGTTGTTCAAATGAGCTTGAACAGTATTCTCCTAAGGTCATAAATATTGAAAATATTAAAGAAGACAGTGAGGCGTTAAACAACTTGGAATTGTATTCGCATGACTCCCTTAAAAGCAATGCAAATGATTTTTTAGAGAGTTCTACTTTTAATGTTGATCAAAGTGTTAAGTGTAATTATGATATTGATTTTGGTTTTGAAAAATCAGACAACACATTTTCTTTTAATGGATGTAGTGAAGAAACCAAAAAAGAATTATTGAGTGACAATATTTCTATAAATCGTTACACTGTTAAACAAGTTGAAAGTTTAAAAGAAATACAAAATGAAGTTTTTCTTTCAGAGGATTTTGTCAATGATGTGGAACACAATGAATCATGTCAAAATGTTATACCAAATGATGTGGAACACAGTGAATTATGTCAAAACGTTATACCAAATGATGTGGAACACAGTGAATCATGTCAAAATGTTATTCCAAATGATGTGGAACATAGTGAATCATGTCAAAATGTTATACCAAATGATGTAAAACTCAGTGAATCATCTCAAAATGTTATACCAAATGAAGCTGAAGTTTTAAATAGAAATGTTGACTTTCAAGTAAAATTACAAAATCAACTTTCTTCTGATAATAATGCAGATATTGAAATAACTGAATCTAGCTACAAGCAACTATATTTTGATTCAATAGAAAATTCTTCAGAACATTTACCTAGTAGAAATGTTATTAATGAAGAGAAAAATCTAACAGCAGTATCAACAGAAAATGAAGCAACAAGTTTATGCAATCAAAGTCCAGGTGTCTTAAAAGACAAACAAAATGTTAGCAAATTGAACGAGCCGACCCCCCTTCGAAGATCTGCCAGAAAGTCAGTTTTGCAAATCAAGACACAAACAGAAGCAACTCAAATCAAACGTAATTTAAATTATTCAGATGAACCATCTTATAGTTTAATTCCACCAAAAGATGATGAACTAACAATCATTGATCCTGAACAATTATCTGATTCATCTGAAAAAATAGTGGACGTTGAAATAAATAAAATAAAATCTACTGAACAGATTAAAAAAACTCGCAGAACAACTGGAAGAAGACTTAAAAATGAACAATACTTACCTTCTAATGTGGAAGTTGTAATGCATAAAATGCCAATTTCTGAATTAGATATAGATTATAAACGATTAGGACATTCATACACAGAAAGCTATGTTGATTTAATGCAGCCCCTCCAAATAATACGTACCAATGAAGTTGAAGTAAAAGAAGAACCTGAAATTCAATTTAATAAAAGTATTGCAAAACAAGAAAAAATACAAAAAAAGAATATGGACAGCAGCCCTTGTTCATTATCAGAAGTAGAAGCTATTAAAACACCTAAAAAAATTTTAAGAACAAGAAACAATTTAAAAAAAGAGGACACTGGTGAAAAAAGTTACTCTAGAACAAAAGCAAAAGATGTTGAGAGAATGTTTGAAAATAATGATGATGTGAATCAAACAAATGAAGATGAATTAAATCGATCAATGAATACCAGTTATTCGCTTAGAAGCTTACAGAATAAATCTACACCCAGCAAATATATTACTCGAAATAAACAAAAACAAGAAACTCCTATTCTTGTTTCTAATATTAACATTAAAACCCAAACATTAGAGAAAAATACTTCACCAATTGAACACAATAATGAAGTCCCATCTAGGAGATATACAAGATCTTCCTTTGGTCGAATTGAACATATTGAAGATCCTTTGCTAGCATTGATTGAAACAGGATTGACCTCAGAAACAACTAGCAATAAAAAAAGAAGTCGGTATGTTAATTTTATAGTTTTTAGTTAATTTTTTATTAACTATTTTGGTTTCAGGGGGTTGTTTGGTTTCAGGGGATTGTTTGTTTTGTTTTGCTTAAACTACTGCATTAATAATAATTTAAAAAATGTTTTTAAAAAAAACTTTAGAAGTTGTCCTCATTGAAAGAACTTATTACATTTAAATAAACTTTAAGATTTGAACATCTAGTTGCAAGTTTTTTGCAAAAAAAAAAATTTAATAAATTTAATTCAAGTTACTTTAAAATGTTTGTATCATGTTTAACTATTTTGTTTATTTATAGTTTCAAGTCAATAATTTTTTTTTATTCCGTTACAACAGTGCTAATATACAAAACTGTTTAATGCACTTATCGCTGTATAAAACATGCATTGTCTAGTAAACCATAATCAAGCCTGTAGGCTAAATTATTATATTTATTGAAAATATTTAGAGAGTTTTTCGGTAAATTTTATATGACAAATTTATGAAAAGATGGTTTTTTTCCATTTTAAAATTGCTTTTTAACAAAAGTTTTTTCTTTATCATTAATTTATTAATTGATTACAGAATGAACGTCGATTAGAAATAATTAACTAGTTTATGAATAGTATGCAAAGATTTTGTTAAAGCCAAAATGTTAAAAAAAAATGTTGGTAGTTTTTAATTTTTAATTGTTAAGAAATTCAACCATGAACAATTGCCTCCTCATTTAAAAAAAATAATAAACATAAGGGATTGTCCATAAATTTTTCAACGCTAAATTTATTTAAAAGACAGAAATAGGAGAAATATGCTCTTTTACACAACAATTTTAATTTAACTTAATGAGCTGTTTTGATTTTTTACTTAAGACTCTGCGAGGGAAAACTTTTGATCATTTTTGTTTTGTTAATTTCACATTTAGCATTGCATAATTTAAGGACGATTGCGAAGACAAATGTTTTAAAGAAAAAAAAAGTTTAAATAAGTATAAGTTTTTAAAGTAAAGGAATTTTTTCTTTTTTTTTTACAAACAACATTTGAATTTTTTTTATAACAATATTGTTTAATTTAAAGATGTTTTATAAAGATAAAGACTTAAAAAAGTTAAAAGTATTTTTAAATAAATTGCAATATAGTATAATTTTGACATACAAGTTGCCTCATTTACCTAATTTAAAAATAAATTTATTTAATTCACTATTAAAATCTGAAAAAGTTTAAAACTGAATTAGACACGTAGAACACGTAGTTGTAGTTAAGATTTTTTGAATAACATTACAATGTTTGAAAGCAAGAATTGTAGAAAATATGTTCAATTTTTGTAAATATGTTCAATGTTCAATTTTTGTAATTATGTTCAATAATTTTTGTAAATATGATTAATGTTCAATTTTTGTAAATTTCTTTTAACCCCCTGAACCCTAAAACAAATCTCAATTTTCAATGTTGAAAAAAGAGTGGTAAAGACATAGTGAAAAACAGGGATTGTAATTTTTAAAACATAAAAACAAAACAATCCAACATTCATAGTAAAGACATAGTGAAAAACAGAGATTGTAATTTTTAAAACATAAAAACGAAACAATCCAACATTCATAGTAAAGACATAGTGAAAAACAGGGATTATAATTTTTGAAACATAAAAACGCAACAATCCAACATTTATAGTAAAGAGTAAGTGAAAAACGTTCACTTCTTTTTAATTTACTTTCTCTATTTTTATTTAGTTTTCTAAATGTAACATATGTAAATTATTTTTTAAAAGTTTTTTTTTCCAGGGTTTAGTTTCCTAGATTTTTGCATAGATATTAACATGTCTTCTATGATGCGTTATGCACATTAGGGTGGTGTTTTCACCCCACCAGAATGTGTATAAACATGTATACAATTTCGATAAGAGCTGGAACATAATTGTCACCCCTATTATAAGTAGTAAAGGTTTGGAAAACATTTTCCTAAAATGTAAAAAGTTTTTTCCAAATTATTAAGCATTTACAATTTTAGATATAAAATAGAGACTTTTAATGAAATTTAAAATCATTTTTTTAATTATGAAGTTTTGAACTAAGATTATCTTTTTAAAAAACAAATATCATGCAAATTTTTCAGGCGGCTGCGCTGCAAAATATAAAAATCTTATAAACCTTTTTATTGTTAATTTATATTATAATTTTAATAGCTTCTTTAAAAAAATGTGTATTTTTTTTAATGATCTTATAGTACTTATAGATAATTTGTATTTATTTTAAACCAATATCAAAAACGTCCTAATTCAAAAATCTAAATTTTGTAATTGCGTTTGTTGGGAATTCGTGGGAAGTTGTGGGAAGTTTGTCTGTATTTCTTTTGAAATAACTAGTTTATCAAAATTATTTGCATTCATGTATAAATATTTATAAATATTCATGTATAAATATTTTTACATTTGTTATCGTGTTGAATATAAATCTTGAGCTAGAAATATAAAGTAAACAAAAGTAAAGTAAAAAAAAAATTGTTTGTGGTGTATAAATTTTAATGTACAGGATATAACTTCTGTTATGTATGTGATCCGATGGCAATCTTTTCTTTTTTTTTCGGAATTTTTGGATTTTTTGGATTTAAGAGTTTTTCAGAATTTTTGGATTTTATTCAGAAGAGTCCCAAAAAGCCTAAAATAAAGAAATTTGCAAAGCTCAATTAAATCTCATCGCAAATATTTCTAGAGTTAAAGTTGTGAGAAATCAATTCAACCACTTTTTTATTAGGTCGGACCCTATAGTATTTTTTACGAGTTTGCGTTCACAAAATGTTTGATGAAGTAAGAATTGAAATGTTTAATGAAGTAAGGATTGAAATGTTTAATGAAGTAAGAATTAAAATGTTTGATGAAGTAAGAATCGCAATGTTTGATGAAGTAAGAATTGAAATATTTGATGAAGTAAGGATTGAAATGTTTGATGAAGTAATGATTGAAATGTTTGATGAAGTAAGGATTGAAATGTTTGATGAAGTAAAGATTGAAATGTTTGATGAAGTAAGAATTGAAATGTTTGATAAAGAAGAATTGAAATGTTTGATGAAGTAAGGATAGCTTCTCTAATAATATTAGAATGGCTCTTATAAGGGTTAGGGTTAGTTAAACATTTTGTGTTATTATAAGTAATATTGATTATTAGTAATACTGAATTTTTCTTAAACCTTCTCATCTTTATTTGGATGTTTTAAAAGAATTTTTTAACCTCTAGTCCGTTTAATTGATATTCGTTTGGATAATTTTTTTAGCAAAGTTTTAGTTAAATTCAGTATACTAAATTGAAAATTCCTTTCTTAAAATTCAGCATATATTAGGCATATAAATAAATTTAATCAAATAAAAATTATTTTAAATTATAACTGTTCCTCTTTGTTAATTGTAGTTTGATTATTTTTACTTTAAAACTAAAGGTGTATCGTTAAAGACATTTTTGGATTATTATTTTATTTTGCAATCCTCATTAAGTTTTTTGCAATATTGAACACTCTTTATTTTAAAAAAAGGTAAAACCCTTATAAACACCTCAAATTCCCTGCCTAAAAATGTAAAAAAACTACTTAATTTTTCTAAAAACATCATTCACAAAAACTTTGTTTATGTGGTCATTTTTATGACTTTTTCAACCAAATATGATTTTTTTTTTTTATTTTTTTTTTTTTTGTTCTAAGAAATAGTGAGTTTTTCAAAAAAATTACAAAGAAAATGTTTTTTTTTTAGTTATAATTTTTCCCTTTTAATTTATCATATTTGAGTCATTTTCCTGTTTAACAAGTGGCTCACCCTAGTAAAACACTTTTTTTTTTTTTTTTTGCAGATTTGGAATTCCCTATAATACTTTACCAAAATTAACTCCCTTGATTTTAAAATTTACAAAAAAAAAAAGAAATTGATACACCCTACGCTTATATGCTTCATCCAGCTAGTAAAATGCCGATTAGAGTGGTCAGATCAATTTTTAACTTTAAAAACAAATTCCTGGACAAAAAAAAAAAAGAAATTGATACACCCTACGCTTATATGCTTCATCCAGCTAGTAAAGTGCCGATTAGAGTGGTCAATTTTTAACTTCAAAAATAAATTCCTGGATCCAGAAAAACCCTAAAAACATGTTAAATATAATGTTTTTCATAAATAAATAATTTATGCCTCTTTTTAAGGTTTCTGAAGCACTGCACGACGTTGAAACGTTTTTTGTTTCTTTCTTTTTTCTTTTTTTTTTTTACTAAAAGGTGGGGAAGATGGATTACATTCTTTGATCTTTACCAGTAATTGACAACCTGTGATCTCAACCAATCTTGTTATGCCACCTCTAAATAAGTTGAGCTGTTTTGAAAATTTTGATCCATAATTGACTTTTTTTTATTTTGTAGCTTATCCAGTAATGCACGTGTCAACAAAAACAGTATATTAAACTTTGAAATTGATAAAGACGTTAACGCTCAAACTCCGAAGCGTGTTGCCAAGAGCAAAGCAAAGCCTACTGAGATTCTTCCTCGCCGCAGTACAAGAAGGTCGGCTCTTCCGTAAATGAATGATTTTTTTTATATAGAGTTGAGGTTATCACTTTTTTAAAAAACAACATTTAAGAAGTGGTTGTTATAAATATTGTTGAGTTGATCCGAAATTATTTCATCTTGTAATATTTTTGTTTGTGAATTATTTTTTATCAAAAAGAAACATTAGTATATTAATTTGTCTGCTACTTGTACAATATATGCAAACCCCCTGATTGTTATGCTTTTGAAATATCTTTATAGATGAGTAAAGTTTTTTTTAATAAAAATATTTTTATATTTGAGTAAAGTTTTTTTAACGAAAATGAAGAATACGAATTCTCTATTTTATAACTTATTTCATTTTCTTCTAAATGTACGCAATTTTTTTTTCTTTTTGTGTAATGTTATAAGATGTCTCGTTGAATAATGTGGTCCGCGCATTTATTTAAGTATATTGTGTAGATATGTTTGTTTCGATTAAAATGCACAGAGATTGTTTTATTTTATAGCAATTTCAATAAATATAAATATGAGTAATCCGGTTGCTGAGCCCGACCTTGTCAATGGAGAAAACGAACCCTCCGAGGACGAAGAGCAAAATGAAAAGAAAAAAAAGCACGAAAAGGCTGCGTGTGCAGATCTTGAAAAAATCACAGATTACGAAGAAGACAAAGAAATTGACGAACAAAATATTAGCAACGCTATAACATTATTGGAGGGGCGGCGATCTGAAGAGAATACAAAGAAAGCAGCCAGAGAAAAAGAACTCGCTCAAGTTAAAGTTCGTAAAGAAGATATTGAACTAATTACAAACGAAATGGAAGTTTCTCAAAGCATTGCTGAACAAAAGTTAAGAGAAACTGGTGGCGATGTTGTACAAGCTCTTGTGTTATTGACCAATTGAAAGTATTGAAAATAAATATAATTGTTTTTGTGTTTTATTCTACAGTGTAAAAAAATATTTAGCCTCAAAAATACTACAAAAAAAATTTTAGCGTTTAAATAACGATAGACATCCTTTATAGAAGGATAAACATTTTCTAAATATTTCCATAAATTTAAATATTTGAGTATTTTAAAGGTTCTGGCTCGACTAGTTTAAGAAATGTTTTTTTAAAAATCTCGTTAAAGATATAGTAACTTTGTCTAGTAAAGTCTAACTGAATTGACCGGCATAATAGTAAATCCGTGATCTTTTTTTTTTTTTTTTTTTTTTTTTTGATTCATTCTGTTTATTTCTCAGTTTTTTATAAGTTAGTGTTGTCGGATTTTTCACCTTATAATCGCATTGTGCTTTTGACCTCGAAAACTTTAAAAATTCCTTCCTTTTTCACTAAATACAATTGAGTCAAAGTACTGGTTCCAGAAGTAATAAGTTTTTGTATGGTTTTACTTCACTAGGTGGAGTAAATCCACCTTCCCGAGTAAAATTCTAAAAAGTCTTTACATTTTTCTCGAAAAGTTAAGACTTTATTTTCTACCAAATACTTATATTTGAAATAATATCAATATTACAACATAATACCGTAGAAAATTGTTTTCCGAAAATTCAACAACATTTTTAATCTCTTACACAACATTTATAGTAATTAATTTATAAGCGTTATTTCTACTACATACGATATTATTTATGTTCTACATAGTTATTATGTATGTCTTGAATAGCACAGAAAAAGATTAATATTAAGACTCATATTTAGTTAATTTCATATCCAACTGTTTTTACTTATTGATTTTTTTTTTTTTTTTGAAGCATGACACTGAAATTTTAAACAAAAATAAGTCTAATATAGACAATAAATTTTAATAAAATGTTTGATATTTGAAAATTTTTAGAATTACATATACGTTTTTTTATTGCCTCTAAATTTGAAAATAATTTGATGAAAGCACGTTACATTTTTACTTGACTAATGAGTTTACAGATTTATTTTTTAATTTCCAAAATCTGCCATTTATGATCAAATTATCAATTAATTTCAACTGTTAAATCTAAATTGGCAAAAAATGTTAATGTTGCTATTATTTGAGTTACCAAATCTAGTCCTAAGTACAATCAAACGTATTTTATTTCTAAAATTTAATTGTTATTATTATTTTTTTTTTTTGCGTGAAACTTTTTTGTTTTCTCATCTCACTTGTTATTTTTTCATAGGCAATTTATAGTATAGATTCAATCTTCAAATGATCGAATCCTGGCGAGTAAAATTAGTTAAAAAAAACTTCAACGTACCTGGTTAGGTTACTTTTATGACTGCCAAATTAGTTAATTCCTTTGATGTTGTACCACAAATCTCATAGTTGAATTGTTTGAGTGGTTTCACAACTAAGCATTAATCATAGTGATATATATATTATGATTAACATCAAAGAAGTTTCCACTTGCTGACAGTTTTGTGTCATGCAACGAAATAATTGAACTTTCACTAAAGTTTATCTTTTTATTTGTTATACTTTTAGACTAAGAATTACGAAAGATTAAGAAAATAAATGCCTCATTGTAGGATTCGAAATAACTACATTACGAAAATATTTTCTAAGCAATGTCAAAAATTTAAAAATAAAAATTGAAAATGAATTAAAAATTCAAACGTCACATTAAATTGTTCACCGAAACGAAGATTAATCAAATAAGCAAATAAAAATTCAAATGGTTTGATAATTGATAAACCAAGTTGTTCATCGAATGATATATTATACAAAAGAAAGATCAGATTAGGCCTTTGTTCATGTTGATATGTCAACGGGCATCTTGGATAGTATACCAGCTGATACATTAAGAAATACGTCTAGGGAATCGCTATGGGAGGCATCAGTTAAATTGCCTAATGGTTTATCAATATGTTCAACGAATGGCCTAATATATCATTTATCAAAATCAATACCTGGCCTCAAAAAAACACTAAAAAACAACCCACTTTAAAATCGCATCAAACTTTGGCACACCAACGCCACTTTACTTAATAATAAAATACAGCAACTTAAAGCGCACTTATCCTGTGATAAACTAGATATTATATTAGATAGTGAAACCTGTTTAATGATAAATCTGTTGTGAACATTGATGGGTGTAACTGCTACAATAAGAAACAGAGCATTTAGTGAAAATGGTGGTGGGGTAGTGACTTATGCAAAACCCAAATTTATCACAACAAGCATAAGTCATTTAGCATTATGTAACAATGAAATAGAGCAGATATGGTGTAGTTTGACCACTGGACCAGAACATGTATTAATTAAATATATTTACAGACCACCAAGTAGTTCAGAAAGCGTAAGCACTAAAATCAGTTCAATGCTTGGAATAAGCGAAAGTCTAGTAGACCAAAAAAAATACACTGGATTAATTATCACTGGAGATTTTAATTATCCATACATAGAATGGGATGGAGATGGTGAAACAAAACTAAAACAAAACTGTAAAATTAGTATGAAATTTATTGATAATTTAAATGAAAACTTAATTGAACAATGTATTTTTGAAAAAAAATACATTGTTCCATAAAGTATTTATTTAAAAAAGACCCATGCATAATATGCATGGGTCTTTTTATGTCGTTGCATAACAGTCAAAGTTAAAGCTTAATTAAGTAAAAAAAAATTTTTTGGCGCCAAAATAAGAGCTGGTAAATTTAAATATCGAAATTAAATGATGAAAAATTAGCAGAGTCTACGTTAGAAATATTTGTGGAAGAAGACACTAACAACAAATCTGCTTTAAACTTCACTTATGCTTCAAAAAAAGGGCTCGATTTGGCTAAAGAATTAGAATTCAAATTAACCCAAAATGATCCTTCAATAACACGCAAAATTTTAAAGAGAATTTCAAAATTGATAGTTCCATACAAAAACATTTAGAAAGAACTACAAAATAAAACTACTTTTGAAAACCAAGAAAATTATTTATACACCATATTAAATACTTACATACTTTAAATTACTTATAATTATAAACCTACCACTAATTTAGATTATTTTTGGTTTTTTTTTGAGACTAGTTTTTTTTTTTGTTACGACCTATTTAAAATCACATTTTAGTTTACGATTTATTTAGGTTTAAATTTTAATTATTTTCTTTATAACTCGTTTTATATATATTAAATACGAATGAAAATTCATTTTGAGTAAAGATTTTTGAATAAAAATAACACTTCTTATTTCTCCACCTAAAAATCTTTATAACTACCCTGAACACAACATTAAAAAAATCTCATCTTTATTATTTTTCTTGAAATATTGTTTTTAAAGAGTTTTCTTTATTTTTTTCAAAATAGTTTAAAATAACGTTAGTATTTAACTCTTACCAGTAACAAGGTAAACTAACAGCAATAACTTCAAAAAGCATAAAAGTTTTAAAAGAGAAACATTTTTTTTTTTTTTTTTTTTTTTTTGTCTTTTATCAAAGCTTTACAAATACGTGATCATAAATAAAAACTAGTTCGTTTACATTGTATAAAAAAAAATACCGTACATATAATAAGAAAACTTTTTTTAATACAAATAATAATATATATAAAAAAGTAACACTGTTAAAAGACGCGGGAAACTTGCAGAAGACCATTTTGGTCTTGTCATCAAGAAACCGCTTTTAGTTGCGATATTTTGTATGCTTAATTTATTAAGAAATTTCAGTTTGTCAAAGTCTCATGGTGGCATAAGAGTCACACATAAAAAGCTACTAGATAATCAAAAACAAAAAACGGAAAAGAGCTGTATTTGATACACATAAATATATAGTTACATGGTTTGTTATACTTAGTATATTGACATGTACGAAATATAAATAAAATCTAACATTTACTTTGCTTTAAAGGCTCTGGAAACAGAGTTAATAAGATCTTCAATTCAATTAATATTTACCAAACATTATTATAAGTATAAAATTATTGTTTTTACTCTGAAACTAAATTAAACATTTAAAACAGACGCATGTGCACCTTTTTAAAAATTTGTGCATTCTGAGATTTACCGCCATGATATATCTTAAGGAATGATTTAAATTATTTATATCGGGTGGACACGGAAAAATCCAGTCAACTTTAGATTGAGATTTCTCCAAAACCACAAATGCTTTTTATTTAACTTTTTTTTTTTATTTAAACCTTATTTCCTTATCTTAAATCGTGTTGATAAATTTATTTCCAAAATGTTTTGGAAACAAATTGAGGTACGTAAAAAAGTTGTTAATTTTTTTTGCAAAAATTCATCGACTTCCTATCGCTTGATTGCTAAACGCACAAATGTCCCAAAATCTACAGTCATAGATATTATAAACAAGTCCAAGACTACTCAAAGCTTCGAAAGAAAACCTGGAAGTGGAAGAAAAAAACTTTCAATAAATTCAAAAAGGTAAAGGCGATTTTACGTTCAATAGCAAGAAATCCGAACCAATCACAGCAAGATCTAGCAAGAAAATTCAAGACTTCTCGTTCTTATATCAAAAAAAACACTTACAAATGCTGGAATTAAAGCATTTCATAAAAAAATACATCTAAGAGAAGCTTAAATTGTGAAATTAAAGGAATTTGACGCGCAAAGAAGTTGGTTAAATATGTGCATAATTGAAGACGACGTAACGTATTGCAAGGCGGATTTTTCACAACTTCCTGGTCAACAGTTTTACTATGAAAACAAAGATAAACCTGTCGATGATCAATTTAAATATATTCAACAAGAAAAATTTGCATCTAAGTTTCTTTTGTCGCAAGAGATTTGAAGATGTGGTATGCAGTCCTCTTGTTTTATCACTAAGAAAACCTTGACTACCGATCTCAACATCAAAGGATACCTCTAAAAAAGACTTTTTCCATTTATAGAAAAACACAAATACTGATGTCTCTTTTAGCCAATTCTTGCTGCTTCACAGTTTTCTAAAAAAGTTTTACAGTGGTGCAAAGATAATAATGTGAAAATTGATCCTAAAGATGCGAATCCTCCAAATTGTCCTGAAGAGCACAAGATTGAAGATTTTTGGGCAATAGTTATAGGAGTTCTTCGTAAGACAGGTGGAGTAACAAATAATAAAAAGGACTTCCAAAAAAAGTGGATTAATGCCACCAATATGGTGAAAAAAGAAAAAATCTGTGAAATGATGGTATCAACCCGCTATAAAGTTCGATTTCTAGCCAAACAACCCATCAAGCCCCTCAAAATTAAGTTGAAACTCTAATTTGTGTAAACACATTTAATAATAAAAAAATTGAAATAAAAAGCATTTATGGTTTTAGAGAAATCTCAATTTAAAGTTGAAGGATTTTTCCGTGTCCACCCGATATTATTATATTTTAACAAGTAAAAACAGTAATGAAAAATGAGTTTAAAAGCGATTCTCTTAAATTAAAAGTTTAAAAAACATAGCCAAATACATACAATAAATTTTTTTATTAAATAATTATTTATAATCTTTAATAAATTTTAAAATATGAAATATTTTTTTTTTGTCAAAAAATGACAAAGGGAAAATATTTATTTACACAATGTTATTTTAAAACCCTAAACATCTAAATTGTTTAAACTTTTTAAAAAAACAAACAACAAAAACCAATTGCTTTTAATCTACAAGAGTTCTCGAATTTTTTGTTTTGTTTACAGAACCAAAAAAATATTACTGCAAGATATATTTTAAAATGTTTTATAAGAAGCATATGAAAAGAAAAAAAAAAGTGTTCATGATTCAAAAAACTAACGATTTTTAAAAGTAAAAAATTAATCTAAAAAGCTCATAACAAAAGAACAAAAATCATTTAAAATACTTATATTTACAGATAAGAAAAAAAAAATTTTAAAAAAAATCGAAAAGCACTCAAAAACCATTCGTCGCCATAGGAATTTCAAATTAAGAATTTGCATTCGTTTTACTATTAAAATACTTCAGAAACAGCACTGACAGTTAATCTAAAAAAATGAATACCCAAAAGAAACTTCAAGGTTCAAAATAATTTATAAAGAATTTAAAGAAAATCAGAAAATGTCTTTTATTTCTTACCTGAGCTACCGTTGGAGTATAATTTGTGCAACATTGTTTTTCTCGATTGTAAATGCTCAATATTAAATTCCTTAAAACTAAAAAAAAGCAAAAAAACATTGCAAACGAAGCAGAACAAAGCTGGATTAGGCAAAATCAAATATTCAAATAATCTTGTAGTCAGACAACAAAAGCTTTATAATCTAAAGATTATTATAGAACAAAGCTTAAAGCTAAAACTACTGTCATTTTTTTAGACTGTCATAGAAAAAGGTCATTAGCCAAAAAAATACTGATAATTATATACCTCGGTAAATTCAAAAAAACTAATAATAAAACGCCGGTAATATCAAACGGTAATAGTAAAATTCCGGTCATATCAAACTGTAATAGTAAAAGTCTGGTAATATCAAACGGTAATAGTGAAGAACAGTTATCAGTAAATAGACAACATGAAGAGTAATCATAATATGTCCGATTTTTGTAGAAACATTCGTGTTATTTAAATAATTTTATTTCTGATATAGAATAAGTTAGAATTATTTTATTATAATGTGTTACATAAATTAAAGATAACATTTAATAACTATCATAAATATAGTTTATCATATGATCAGTTTCAAAAGGATTTTTTTTTAAATATCAACAGAAATTTTGAATTTTTAAAACTTTATAACTTTACATACTATCTATATTCATATCAATATATTAGAATGCTGAGAACATTTTGAAGAATAAAAAATGAATAATCTAAAAGCGAATGAAATACACTTTTTTAAACCTTTTGTACCTTCTGAATATGGACTACTCATATGGCATGTTTTATTGTATATGATATTGAACTTGTATAATAAAGTGACACATGAATTTTGTTAAATCTATTTTGTAACTTTCTTTACAAATATTTTAATACTTTATGCTCAAACGCATGTTTATCTTTGTTAAACATAGTCACACTCTAAGTTTGTCAGTTGAATGTTCGTTATTGATATTTCACTAAAAATAGTTATAATTTCAAAGGTGAGGCTGTTCGTTACACCAAGTATATTTTCTTTGAAACAAGCCACATGAGACAAGTTATCTAACCTTGCAGACAAATTCATTTCTTTACAATTAGTCTAAATGTAAAAGAAAAACTACAAATATATCATTGTAATAAACAAATTAAAAAGTGAACAACCATTAAACAATAAACAGACATTAAAAAGTAAACAATCATAAAACAATGAAAAACCATAAAACAGTAAACAACCATAAAACAGTAAACATTGAACAACCATTAAACAATGAACAACCATTAAACAATGAACAACCATTAAACAATAAACAGCCTTTAAACAGTAAACAATCATATAGCAGTGAACAACCATTAAACAGTGAACAATCGTAATTTCTTACTGAAAACTTCTTAAACATTTACTAAGTATGTTAAATATTAAACAAGTAATTGTAATTAATAATAAGTTTAAAATTAACAAATTAATATAAAAGTGGGAAATTTTTCACACAACACAAATAACTCGTTTATAACAATATTATTAAAAAAAAACTAAACCTCTTGCACTTTATCTAAGCGTTTGGTTAAGTGAGAAACCTCTTCCCTCAAAAATACATTTTCTTCTAGTATATCTTGTTCTTTAGATTCATAGTTTTCCTGGTAAAATTTAAAACTAGTATAATTTATACTAATTTATACTAATTTATAAAAGCATAAAAAATAGTAAATAAAAAAAGAAAGAAAATGCACAATTAAAATAAATAAACAAAAAATTACCAACTGAAGTTGTAGCAGTTTTATTGTATTATTTTTACAGTCTATTTCTTTTTCGAGTTCTTCAATTCGTTGAAGAGAATTCTGAAACCTCTTAAAAAGTAAATAAAATGTAAAAAATATTAAATCAGTATGATCCACATAACAAAAATGATTACAATGAAAACTGACTTGTGTTAACAAACAAATATCATCATCCATATCAACACTTCTTCTTTCTTTGACACTTTCTCTGGTCATTGTATTTTCTGTTACTACTAATGGATCAACAACTGCCATTGGACTGGACTTAAAAAAACAATATAATAAAATAATAAAAACTTACAAAAAGTTACAAAAATCTAATATTAATTTTATTAATATTATTACTGGGGGTATGAATTAATCCATATGATTTTTTTTTCTCATAAAATCAAGCTACAATATAATAAACTAGGTATATATTTAATGTTCAAAGTATTGTCTGTCGCTACCCACTAACTTTTTCCATCTTTCTTGCAATATACTGATTCTGTTGCAAAAAGGAATCAACACAACTTTTGCAGTGATTAAATTAAATGCTTCCAGGCCAGAACATGCATCATTATTTGTAAAGAGTAGGTATTATGGAATATAATTGGGGTAAGGGGAAAATTAAGTAGGGTAAGAGGCAAAATTGAGTATTTGCAAGTAGGTTTTAACAGGTTAAACAATATGATGAACATTGCCATACTGCAAAATAACTTGGTCATACCTTTCAATATATCGATATATAAAATACAGATCAAATGAATCACGAATCATTAACGCCCAAGCTTTGCCTATGATTTTTTGAACTTTAGGTTATCATAATGGACTTTTTATTTCAATTTTTTAATCTACTTTTTATTGATTGTATCAGTTGTTTTGAAAATCTCAATATCTCTTTGTTTCAATTGATATGGCACCTTATTTACTGCTTTTGAATCATTTCCAAGTTATGTATTAGTTTTTGAGCTGTTTTTAACTCCAAAGCTTAATTTGGTATTGTTAAAACTACTATCAACACTTCTGTTCTGCTAGAGCATGGACAATATAAATTTGGGATAAACAATTAAAAAAAAGAGTTACATTATTTTTTGTAAAATGTAATGAATTAATTCAGACCCAGTACCCAGTATATAGAATGCGTCTAACAAAAAAAACTATTTTCTTTTAATAAAACATTTTCCTACTAAAAAGAGTCTTGGAGACAGAGGCGGAAGCGATGAACCTTCAATGTAATTTGAAAGTTTTAAAGGACCCTTCATCAATGGCGAAAAATAATCAGTCTAAACGAATTATAAAGAAAATCACATATTCTACAAACAAAATATAATATTAATTTATAAAAATAATTTTATTTATTAAAATACCAAATTGTGAAAAATAATTAAGTAAATAAAAGTTATCACCTCTAGCAAGGTTCTCTTCAATTTCAACAACTGAGTCTTCACAAGTTTAATCTCATTTGTAAAATGAAGAAATGATGTATTGTCCATCATTATATTGCCATCTAAGGTTTCAGTCATCTGCATTTGCTTTGGAGGTCTGAAATTATATGCAAAATCTCGTGAACCATATGTTTGACTTCTTCTTAATTTTGAATTTGATTCTTCTCTTTTTCTACCAATATCCCCCATAGAGATTGTATAACATCGATTTTCAATACCATATGTAAATTCTTCATTGTCATCACTTAGTGATGAAGGTAGTAGGTCACTTTGGGGAAAACATGGTTCTGTATTAAACAATTTGATGGTGTGTTTTTTTGAAGGAGTTTTGGTTGATTTACAGTATTCATCATTATCTTCAGATGTATCTGGCAGAGGTATAACATGATATGGTGGTGGATGAATGGTGGTATCTGGTAGAGGCATAATACCATCGGTTTCTACAGAACTTTCATTTTTTTCAGAATCAATCAAGTCTAATTTACTGCTTGATGCTTCAGTATTTTCACTTTTAATATTTTCAGGTGTGTTAACAATTTCATTAGCATTGTTAATAAGTTCAGATGTTCCTGATTCAGTCTTGTCAAGTATATTAGTTTGAACAACAAATGTATCAAGAAGTTCATTTATCGGATTACAAAAGCCATTATTTATATGATTATTGTGTGCATTATCTTTGGAGAACGTGTTATTTTCATGTGTCTTACATAATGTTGCAAGATCAGTATTGGGGTCATTTAAGTCATTATTAGAGATAGCAGCAAGAACCTTTTGAATATCATCACTGAAAGATTCATTTTGTGATTCATACTCATTCAACCCGTGATTTATTTTTCCAGGAGTATCTTCAACAAAATTTTTTGGCATTTTCTCATTCTCAATAAATAAATCATTTTCATCATCTAATATAATTTGTGTTTTATTACAATATGCAAAATCAGGTTTTTTTCTACTATCTATTACCCGAGTTTCATCCAAAAATCCAAAAGTTTTATTTAGGTTGCCTTCGCTATATTCTTTACATAAAGTTTGTGTTTTATTGAAAGCTGGACTGTTATGTTGAATAAACTCTTCAACTTCTTTTTCTTCAACATTTCTTGTAACATTTACAGTTTTATTACAGTTAATATTTTTTTTAAGTTCTTGTTTACTTTCGTGACTATATGTAACATTTTGAAAATCATTATCAATATCATCTAAAACATTGTCACACTGTTCTTGCTTATGTTCATCGGAAAATTTGTTACAGGATGTATTTAAGTTATTTGAGTGTGATGGTTCTTTAAAAACACTAAATGTTGAATCAGCTTCAGATATATCTGGCTCTGAAACTATCGGACTTATTTTCAAATGCTCGAAATGTTTTGATTGCACTGTATTGTATGGAGTTGACATACTTTCAATACAACTAACATGTGTTGAATAACGAGGTCTTAAACTGCTAAGCTGTCCTTTTAAATTTAGTTTCGATTTAATTTTAGTTTGTATTCTATTTTGGTTATTTATTATTTTTGAATTGCACTCTGAGGAGATGTTTGATGATAAAAGATCATCTTGGGAAAGGCTTTTATTCATCTCACTAAAATCTGAACTATCAGCTTTGTCAGCTACTGCTGGCAATGTTTGAAGTGATTTTGATTGAGCTTTTGAAGATAACTTATTAGAATAATTAAATCCAAATGTTTTTGCACCAGCTATACATTGATTGGAGTTTTGTAACGTAATTGCAGATGGCTGCTTTAATTGGTTAGTTGTCAACTTTTTCAAATTATTATTTGATATAGGTGGTTTTAATATACATGGTTCAAATGTATTTTCCTGAGGCGCAATCGGATTATAAACATTATCTACTAGTCTTTTTAATGGTTCTTTAGGTATCATTGTATTTTCATGAATATTATTGAGTTTTGAAGTATCTTTTAAAACTCGTGAATCAGGAGTTTTTAATGCTCCCACAGATCTCCGCTTACCAATATTTGGTATTTGACTAGTAGCTGGTTTTGAAACTCTTTCGTATGGTGTTGGACCATGTTGAGAAAATGAACTTGTAACAGGTTTACATATTAATGAACGCTTCGGTTCAGACGTTTGAGTAACTGGTGTTTCAATAGCATCAGTCCTGATCAACAAAAATATTTTTATAAACATAGAAAACAAAAGTGTTTTTATTTATAATTCTATAAAAAAGGCAATTATTAAAGAACACAGACAAAAACATTATTTTAAAAAGAAAAAAAAAAATTACCTTTTGCAAACTCCTGATGATGGAATAGATGGAATGGGTACTACATAAAACAAATAGAGTTGAAAAAAATATCTATTATTTAATTTAATTATATAATAATAAAAAAAAATTATAAAGTAATAATAAAAAAAAAAAAAAAACCTGCACATGCTGAAGCTCTCGGCAATCCAGAAGGTTTTAACTTTGAAAATCCAGGTGCCTGCAATCGTGACATATCTCTTGACCTTTTAAACATAAAAAACTTGAGGTGTAATTAATACTTAAAATTATTAATGAAATGGTAATACTTTTTTTTCATTAAGGTACTAACTCTTTTTAAATATATTTTCTTTAAACCTTGATAGATTAAAAAAAAAAAAACAACTATGAAATTGGCAATTTTTCTTAACAATTATTTATAGATTATAGAGTCGCTGATAGATAATACTAATCTAAATAATATCTTTATTAATTAAAAGGTCACCAGGCAAGCCGTTCAAATTTTCAAAGATACGGTGCAGCTACCCCTGCCTAGGGCACTTATAATGACTACCAAGGTAACATTTGTTAAATTAATCTAAGTAGAATTAACTATACATCTGAAAGTTTAAGCTTATTTCACTCAAAATAGACAAAATATTGCCACGTCTATATACAATTAATTGATGTCATCCGATTTAAAATTAAAACGTCAAATTTTCTTAAATAAATAAAATTAAAATTATTCATCGCCAAAATATCTGTTCCATAAGGATAAAATTACGTAGACGATTGAAAAATAAAATGCATTTTTTGCTACGCTGCAACAGACCAAAAACGCTGAGATTCACAGCGCGCATTTTGTCATCCCAATTTCAGTCAATCGACTTAAAGCAGTTAATTATAACAATTCTTATAATATTAACAACAATAACGATAACAATAATAATAATAATAAAACTTTTACTATTTTGTTAAATAAAATTAATAACCAAATTTTACTTTTTACTTTTTTTTTCTTTCTAGAAATATATGCAAAGCCCGTAATATTATATTCAAGTTAACCAACTTTGTAGCGGAAAAAAGTTACTTTAATCCATTGAGTTGTCTACTGATCAGAAAATAACTATAGATAAAAATTCTGTCGATTATTATTTTTGATTTTGTGAAAAATAACTATGGCACAACAACTATCGATCACATTGACACTGTAAGTGCCCGTAGCTGTTGCATCAGGATTCACGCTTCAAAATAAACAGAAAGCAAAATCTTAGCAAAAATATTAGCAATATAAAATTATATCTATATAATTTATCTATAATATATTTATGTTTACACATTGTGTAACATAAAAATATTGTAAATCAAATAAACTAAAGTTTAAAAACAAAAGTTATTAAAAAAGATAAATAGCAATTGATTAAAATATATAATTTCAAAACAAATATCAAATTACGTTGAGCTTATCACAACGGTAGTACATCAATAAAAAAAAAGTTAAAATTAAATAAATATTTTTATGATGAATTTAATTGAAAATAAAAACATCATTAAAAAACGTCTGATTCACAAGAAATAAAATGAAATAAATAAAGCAAAAAACAAACAAACAACAACAACAACAAAATCTGCATTTATATTAACTAGAATCATTCATATTCGAATTGTAATCTGCAGTATCAGCTAGATATTTATAATCTTTAAATTAATAAATAAAATAAAGTCATTACAAACTAAAACTTTAACGGAAAGTATTGTTTTATGTAACGGTCATTGAAATAAACTTTTTTGACGTTTGGAATTAGTTGGTTAGGTTCACAAGTTTTTTCTTTAGTACAGTGAATGCTTTTTTTAGTACAGTGAGTTATCAAGATTTAAATTTAGGAGTAATAGGATTTAGAAATAGACGTAAATAAGAAAGGTAACTACTTCGGCTGTATTACCTCTATTAGTTTGATGTATGTAAATGTGTAAACGCGTTTAGCAAATTCGTTTCGAAGATATAAAACAAACTAAACTTCCAATTTGATTTAACAATTTAGGAAATTTTTTTTTGGGTGTAAATGGATTAGTGTAAACATTTTTTAAGCATAAACTATACTGAAGTTTGTTGCCAATTTTATTCCCAAATTACACGTTTTATCTTTTGATTCAATTTCTAATAGATATAGGTTTAACCTTTATTATTTATATATTTTTTAAAAATTCGTTTGTCTTCATAAATAAAGGAGGAGGTAATTATTGTAAGATATTTTTTATGCAGCTTAGGAGCTAACTATATTAAGTTTTTTTTTATGCAGCTTAATGGGTAACTATTGTAAGACTTTTTTAATACATTTTAGGGGGTAATTATTGTAAGACTTTTTTTATGCAGCTTATAATAATATTTTGGGAAAATAACTAGAAGAAAGAAATTTGAGTGCTTTAGCCAAAACTCAGCCAGCAAATCATATCGGGCCCCATATGGGGCCCAAGTAGGCAGCTTTATAGGGCCCAAATGGGTTGGCCACATCCCACCCAAGGAAAGTTGTCGCTAAGCGTGAATTAAGGCCCAAGTGGGCAGCCCATATGGGCTGCATATGTGCAACCCACATGGGTCCCACTTTTTATTTATTTAAATTTTTTATAATATTTTGAATAATTATTTATTTTTAAATTAGATACACATAGTTTAATATGTAGTCATAAATATGTCACGTGAGTCTAGCTTTATTGAAGAAACGGAAATCAAACATAGAAAGAATAAGGTAAACAGTAATAAACATTTATAAATATACCACAGTATTTAAATAATTCAATAGTAAAAGTTATAGTTTTATATAAAAAAGTAAATTTAAACGTTTTTTAATTATGTTTATTTAATATATTAATATTAGACCTCATTTTATTTACATTTTTGCTTGTGGCTTTATAAAAACTCAAATAGTGTATAAACTTTCAAAAACTTTTTACACATAAAAAAAAAAAAAAATTCAAATACAATTTAAAACTTTTACTGCCACTAATACATGACATTATTAGCACTATTACGGAGTCTTCAAAATGATTTGACTTTAAATAAAAAGAAGATTTTTTGAAAAA